AAAAAAAAAAACTGAATTCTCTCCTATTGGGGAATCAAGAACGGATGACTGGGAATACTTTTTCGCCCCCTTTATTGGTTAGTGACTTAAGTTTGTTTCAGAAAGACTTCTACTTTACCGGTTGTAACACTAAAAACAGCTGCCTGTTTTGATAAATACTACAGTTGTGCTAGTAGAAATCACATCTGTGAAGAGCTAGTTGAATGTAATGTTGATCATTATGGAGTCAAGAAATGGAAAAAGGCCTAAACTGAAGTAAAAGGGAAGACTTGGAAAGATGCAACTAGAAGATGAACTAGAAGACAGATCCAAGACAGAAGTTACTAACTACCAACATGAATAATACACCTACAGACAAAAGCCAACACTCAGCACAACTCACATACCCCAAACTACACCCAGCAAACGTTTCATAGAAACCTCAGATGTTCTCAGTAAGTTAAAACCCACCAACAAACTTAGCAGAAATACCTGCTCCTACTAGCTACTCCATTACACCAATGCCTCTCTCTAAAACGTGCTCTCTCAAGTACCTTCGCCGAGGTGGAGGACTCCTCCTACGGTAATCATCTCGAGGGCGACGACCCCAAGAGGGAGGGGGGCCACGATTCCGACTTCTTTTCTCACCGTTCGACAGCTCCACTCTTACTCGGCAGCCACATAGTGTTCTAAGGAGAAGGGGCACTAGTCACAAAATTGCTCATAGCAGGCACGGTGGTCCAGGGAGTCCATCTCAATCTCTCCTGATTCCACCCAAATGGAACCAAATTTGACACTCTTAGGAGTTGTCCAGACCTGTTTGGTCTAAGTTTCTAAATTTGCTAAACTCTTTACATAGGTTAAAAGACCAAACAAATCTTCTCAAATGGGATTTTTTAAAAGTAAGAAAACAATTTTACTACTTATCAGTCTGGCTGAGTATGTTGGTATATATACACCTTTAATTTAATTCCAGCACTAGGCAGAGAGGAAGCCTCTTTCTTTGCCAGTCTAGGCTAGAGAATCTACTTCAAAATAAAGGCTACAAAAAGGGCTCAGTAGTTAAAAGCACTGGCCACTCTTGTAGAGGACCCGGGCTTGGCTCCCAGCACTCCCAAAGTAGCTCACAAGACAACCTACAATTCTAGTTCCAGGGGGTCAAACACCTTGCGGCCTGTGACTAGTAGGAATGCATAGTAAAGACATAACATACAGGAAAAACACAGGAAGCCCAAATTAGAGACGGTCTCACTGTGTTGCCCTGGCTGTCCTCAAACTTGAGTTCAATATTAACTGTTAGTAGCTTTAATTATTAAGGACCTTGGTTTTTGCCTTTGTATCTCATATATTTCTACTATAACTTGTTCCCTTCAATTTTTCATTCTATACACTTCTCTAACGGCTTGGAGATACACTACGATTACATTCGCTGTTTCATATTATACTCCTCCATTATTATTTAACAACTGGCATACAAAAAATTCTTCCTAATAACAAAAAAGTTCAGCTATGGTTGATATTTTTCCTTCATTTGTCCAGAGCCATCACAGAGTTAATCCAGCACATTTAGGCAGTTGATAAGAGACCCTTGCAAACTTTTACTATTCCAACTTGTAGGAACACGTAACTAACCTACGACGTCAGAGCTACCGTCAATCCTTTTCACATTATAAGGCAACGTGATAGAAAAGTATCCTTTCGTTCCACTTGTTCTGAAAGTAAGGCTGGCTTTGAACTCCTGTCTAACTGTCAAGTGCTGGGAATTCAGGTTTAAGACACATCTGGCTCTAAGTCACACACCAGCAGGAATGTTTGTGACAGCCACGTGTCCTAGAAAATTGAAACACTAGAAACCAGATTAACTATTTGCCATTAACATTACCTTCCATCTAGCTCTCGGACAGCGTCAGCAGCATCTCGGGGATCCTCAAATTCAACGAAAGCAAAGCCAGGAGGGTTTCGAGCAACCCACACACTTCGGAGCGGTCCATAATAGCCAAATGCCCGTTCTAATTCAGTCTTGTTCCCATTGTTTCCAAGATTACCTACATACACCTTACAATCTAATGGACAGGAATCACGATGCATTTCTGTAAGAAAAAAACGACAACAATATTTACCAAAGCAGTCTAGTTAAAAACAAATCGTAGAAATTTAAAGAGCCTCAGAAATATAGATTAGTGGTATTTGTCTAGCATACACAAGCTTCTGGACTCAAGCCTAGAAGCAAACATGACCTTTATTTAAAACAGAAACAAACTAAAAAGGCCAACACACAACTACAAATCCTACTGTCAAAGAACCCATGCTATCTATCCCCCACCCCACACTCTTCCTCCATAATCCCCAGAAAACAAAAAAATTTTTAAAGTCAGCAGCCAGAGGCAGGCAATCTGAGTTTGAAGCTAAACTGGTCTTTACATGGAGTTCCAAGCCAGACAGGGCTACAGAATAAATATATTCTAGCACTTGGGAGGCAGGGGGATCTGAGTCAGATGCCAGCCTCATCTCACTCTTTTAAAGCCATCAACGGAACTGAGAAAACACCCAAGGATCAAATAGATCAATTAACACAATATGGACTGTGAGTTAGGGAACAGTTTTGTTTTTCCAAGAAAGTTTCTGTCAAACAGTCCTGAGTGTCCTAGATTTTGCTAAGAAATCCGCGTGCCTCGGCAACCCAAGTGCTGGATTAAAGGTGTGCCACCACAGCCCGGCCCAACTTTTAACTTTGGCCTTGAACTGTGCCAGACTCTACCATCAGTTCTGCATATAATATGCAGAACATATGAGGCTTGACTGTTTAACTTCAAATTAAACCCAACAACCAACAGGAGGTGGGGTGACAGTGCTCAGATGGAGCTAGGTGTTCAAGACCAGCTTCCACTACTGACACAGGAAATCATCTTAAACATTTTAAAAAGTAGTGCACGCCTTTAATCCCAGCACTTCAGAGGCAGGGCCAGGTGGATCTCGTTGAGTTAATAATGGCCAGCCTCCTCTACAGAGCTAGTGTCTGGACAGTCAGGGTACTCAAATCAGTTCTGTCTCAAAAATCTAACAAAAAGCTGGGCCGTGGTGGTGCACGCCTTTGATTCCAGCACTTAGGAGGCAGAGACAGTCATATCTCTGTGAGTTCGAGGCCTACAGTCTGGTCTACAGAGGGAGTGCCTGGATTCAAAGCTACACAGAGAAACCTGTCTTGGGGGTGGGGGAGTAATCCTAACCCATCATCACACAATAGTTGACAAGGAAGAAATTACAGCTGAAAACAGAGATGGATACACCTTCATTATTCAATCACAGCCACTCCATTAAGTTTAGATAAACGACCACATTTGAACCAAACAAGCAATATATAAATGCTTCCATATGCCAAAAGTTACAAGCTTTAATTAAGTTGCAAAGCCTTCACTTAAGCTTCCTTAGGAGGGCTGTGGAGATGGCACAGCAAGTAAAGGCTGCCCACTCAGGTTGAGCTACAGGACACTGTGGGAAAAACTCCCGCAAGTCATCTTTCTGACCTTCACTGTGGTACATTTATACCACACCCCAAAGACAAGTTTATTTTGGTTTTTAATTGTGAAGAGCTCCACCTGCCTCTGCCTCCCTGTGCTGGGGCCATCACCAGCCATCACCAACACTAAAATGTTTTTATAAAAGGCTTCCTAGCCAGGCAGTGGCAGTCCACGCCTTTAATCTCAGCACTCGGAAAGGCAGCTGGCCTCTTGGTGTGTTAGAGGCCAGCCTGGTCTACAAGAGCTAGTTGCAGGTCAGGACCCAAAACTACAGGGAAACTGTTGGGGGGAGGGGGTCACAACCAAAAGCTTACAAGATACATCACCACAAAACTTTCTGCACTACCAGAACAATACTCATACCACCTCAAATGAGACTCTTATGCAATCAAAATGCTTCAAGCAGCCAATCCATGTGCTGATTTTTTCAATTTTCTGAGAAAGAGGATTTATAAGTGTGCACTCCCCACACCTGGCTCCATGTATGCTTTTCTTCCCCAAGCTTATGGGAGTCTGGATATGGCTCAGCGGTAGGGGCTAGCCTAGAATGCTAATACATCTCTCTACAGCACTATTCCTAAGAACTGTGGCAACCTAAGGAGTTCCAGGAAGTTATCCCAAATGTAGTGCAGCAATCAGAAACATACGACAAACACTACAAAGTGAAAATCTTGAAAATGTTCGAAGACTGGAAAAAGACTTTACAATTTCCAGAATATGAAACGCCCAAAGTGGAAAATCCAGACTAGTGACTGACTGCCAGGAGTTTTTGAACTGACAAATATTTTATGGAGTTTAAGTACTGAAAGACAAGCGTAATTGAGCTCATGCAAGTCCAGCATTAAATTTGAAGAAAATCTCAAGGAGAGATGGGGACAGTTCCAGACAGCCAGGGCCACAGAAAAAGAAAACTAGGAAGCTCAAAGGTAGCTTAGGCTGCATGAGACCCTGCCTCAAAAAGCAAAATATCGGGACGGTGGTGGCACGCGCCTTTAATCCTAGCGCTCAGGAGGCAGAGGTAAAAGGGTCTCAGGGAAAAAACAATCATACCAGACAAAGGTTCCACACCGCTGTGGATGTCTTAAAAACTACCACAGCCGGCACGCATGCCTGGGACTCACTAGGCCGAAAAATGACAGGTCAGGAGCCTGGTAAAGAGACCCTATCTTCACAGGATAAAAAAAAAAAAAGGCACGTTACCTTCAAAAACCAATCTTTTAGGGCCGGGAGGATAGCTTAGCTGTAGGGTGCTTGCTTAGTACACACAACGCTAAGTGCAAGCCCCAGCACACGCACAAAATTTTGCTTTTAAAGAGAAACTAAAAGCACGGACTATAACAAGAATGCAGAGCACGCCTTAGGGACACACGTTCAGTAAGCCTTTAATCTCACACTCCCAAATGAAAAGGAAATCCAAGAATTCACTTTCAGTGCCTCCCCTACTAGAAAGGCAACGATTATCTAAGTAAAAATTCCAGTCCAGGCACATCCTACTTTGTCGTGACCCCACCCTGTACCCAAGACTCGGTTGAGAGACCAAGCCATTCCGCGAAAATTAAAGGAAAATAAAGCTCATCCATCCCCGGTTTTCACACCTGTGAACGCAAAGGTCAAAGAAAAAAAAACCCACCAAACTCAACTTCAACTGGAAACACAATTTAATTACATCCGAATTCTAAAGCAAAAACTAAACCAGCATTAAATAAGACCGTAGGGGGCTTCAGTACATAAAGGTCTGGTTTGACTCTGACTTTAAAAAAAAAAATCAGACCCTATCCCAAGAAAACCTAGAGCAAAATAAAAAAGGAAAAGGAAAAAAGGCGCCATCAGATTAAAGGCCGCAACGTGCAGAATGCGGTTCAAGATCGGCCCGCTCCGAAGCCCGGTCCCGAGTCACCGCTCTCCTCGGCTCCCCGCCACGGAAATGAGAAAAAAACCCGATTCCGAGGCCGGGAAGCATCTCCGAGCCGGCCGGGGGCCCCCGCCGCCGCCCGGGACCGAACGTCACAAAATGGCGGCGGCGCCCCTTTGTCTCAACCTGGCGCCATTGCGCCGGGCCCCGCCTCGGCTCTGTGCGACTCCATAGCCCTCCCTCCCGCCGCCGGCCTCTTACCGAGATCCTGGGTTCGAGAACCGCAGCTCAAATTCCAACACTCCGACGAGGCCCACCCGCACACTCGCGATCTGCTTCCGCAGATGCTCTCAAAGCCCTGGCGTCCACGAAATGGCGGACCACCGCCTTCCCCTCGCCCCTAGTTATAGATCCCGTTTGTGCCACGTGACCCAACCCGCTCGCCCAATCAGAGGCGGCAGGGGCCGTGACGTCAGGCGGCGAGAAACCGCGGTTTCTGGGGGCGCGCGCCGGCCGTTCCGTCAGGTGGGCGGGGACGCGCGGTGGCGCGAGCTCGTCGCCGCGTGCCCGCTGGCCCCGGAGGTGTCGTTCTTGGGCTCGGCCATTCCCCCCACACTAGCCCAGACCCCTTCTGCCTCACTTCCGCCCAGCCTTGACGCTGCCGCCATTATTCCCGTGCCACGGTGCTTGCAGCCGCAGGCACGGATCTCAGTCAAAAGTGCACGCTTGCCCCCTCCTCGTTGGGCTGCGATTCCACAGCGACGCAACGACTAGAGAGCCCGAGAGTCGTTGTCAAGGTTACCGAGCTGGGGGCTACCTAACTGGTCCCCCACGGTGGCCGCCCCGGCCTCTACCCGGGGAACAGTCTGCCAAGTTTGCACAGCTCTTGTTTTCCCGCCTCTCGCCCAAACCGCGCGCGGCTAATGAGGACGTCTGGAAGGGGGGGAAAAACGGTCACCAGGATCACATTCACACAAGGGAAGGTTCTCCCGCCATCCTGATGCCTGCAGGGGCACCTGCAGCCTTTGTAATAGCTTTGCTCTCCCTGGCAGCCGCCGCAACTCCCTGGGCCTCTGCACACAGCCCCAAGAATTGCTGGATAGCGAAGGAGAAACTGGATTATGAGAAATCACCTTCCTTGATCAGCCACAGACTTTGTCTCAAGGTCCCAAACTTACCCTCCGCCTAACTTTGATCAGGCTAGACTGTTTTATCGCAGATTTAGTTATTTCTGCTTTTCCGAAAAATGAAAACACTTGACCAGTTTTCCAGGCACCTTAGTTCCTCCACGGGTAAAGAGGTGGATTCATACTCCATAAGGAAGGGGGGCGGTGCAGACTACAAGTTGTTAAATGAGTTTGTGTTGTGGCCTGATTGTAACGAAACTTTTTATCTCATTTCCTTCTGGATGCCCGCCCCCCGCCCCGTCCTGAGACATAACATACTGGGGCTGATTTGTCCCCTTCTCCCTTCTGTTTTTCATTCTCCCTGCCCCAGGCCTGTAATCTCGGGACTCAAGGAAGTCCAAGGAAGCAGAGTTCAAGGTTAATTTCACACAGTCAGTAAGTTCTAGGCCAGAATAAACAAGATTCTGTCTGAAAAGAACAAAAACCTGATGTAGCTACAGTCGTTTTCTCTGCTCTAAAACTGGTAGGTAATGGTCCCCTTTAATTCGTCTAATCCATCCACAGCACACTTGCTTTTTTTTTTTAACCATGTCTCCCTGGTCCAAATATTGGGGTTTGTTTGTATTTTTTAAAGGGTTTGTTTTTTTAGATTTATTTATTGTATATACAACATTCTGCCTCCATGTATGCCTGCACGCCAGAGGAGGGCACCAGATCTCAGTACAGATGATTGTGAGCTACCATGTGGTTGCTGGGAATTGAACTCAGGACTTCTGGAAGAGCAGCCAGTACTCTTAACCACTGAGCCATCTCTCCAACCCCCCGTTTTTTGGTGTTTTGAGAAAGGGTTTCTCCATGCTATCCTGGAACTCACTATGTAGATCGATCTGGCCTCTAACCCCGAGATCCACCTGCCTATTGAGTGCTGGGATAAAAGGCAAGCACCACCATGCCCAGCAAGCACATTGTTGTTTGGGTCGGAGACAGTCTCTCTCCAGCCCAACCTGGCCTAGCACTCACTTCCCTTGACTTCATTTACAAATGTGTGGGATTGCGGTCAAAGCTATCCTGGACCCATGCAGACTTTGGGATGCAGCTCAGACACATCCGACTGCAGTCCAGGACTGAGTTCAGGGCAAAACTGTGCTTCCTCGGCTTCCTGGCAGGATTCTGGGCAATTGTGGGGCAGGTGTTGACACCTCAGCTCCACCTTGACCCTATCTCATCCCCCACTCCTAAAAATAAAGTGTTAGGGACGTCATTCACAGCAGGGACTTGACTCTAACACGTGCAGGGCCCCAGATCCCATCTCCAGCATTGGCAAAAGTAAGATAAGCCCCGAGAATGATGGCCAGATGCTAATTATTATGCACAAGGTTTAATATAATTTTTCCAGAACAGGATTTCCTCTGTGTAGCCCTGGCTGCCCTGGAACTTGCTCTGTAGATCAGAATGGCCTCCAACTCAGGGGATTCTCCTGCCTCTGCCTCCCAAGTGCTGAGATTAAAGGCATGTGCACCATGCCCAGCAAGATTTAATATTTTAAATATTGTGATTGGCTTCAAGTTTCAGTAAAGCACAACCTAATAGGAACACAAACCATAATAGTGCTTCCTTGACTGCTTGATTAGCAGCGGTCTCTTCCTTGAGGGTTAGCAATAGAAGGGATTATTTGCTTAAGTGTAGGGTTGAGTTAAGGGAACTAAGGACCAGCAGAGGCACTCTTGGGGACAGCTCTGGCACCAAGAAGGCAGCAGGGTGAGCCAAACAAACTAGGAGAGGAAAGGTGGCAGCCTGGGACTCTGAGTAAAGGAAGCAGAACCACATTCCTTTCTGGGTGCTCAGCACCCAAGGAAGATCAAAGACTCTCCCAGCGAACTCTGTCCAGCTTTTCCTAGTCCCATCTCTACAGGGTGGCTTATTTCTCTCTACACCATAGAAGCCTGAGGGCATGAGAGCTGGGTGGTGCAACCCAGCTTGAAGTTAACCTCCTAGGACACAGAGCAGACAGGGAATTGATCCAGGGCTGTACTGTCTCCTGCAACTGCCATTAGGCACCTGTAGCTGTTTGGGCTCAATTGAGATGTGCTGAAATATAAAGGAAGGAAGGAAGGAAGGAAGGAAGGAAGGAAGGAAGGAAGGAAGGAAGGAAGGAGAGAACGAAAGCAAATCATTTGAAGGCAGCAAGAACAAAAAAAAAAATTCAAGATGTCTTCATTTTTACACTGACTCCTTGTTTGAGTGAAAGGATTTTGGAGAGGTGTTTTGTTGTTGCTGTTGTGGTTTTCAGGTTTTTAATTTAATTTTACTTATTTTTTTCTTGAGGCAGGGTTTTACTATGTAATTCAGGCTAGGCTATCTTGGAACTCACTGTGTAGACCAGGCTGGCCTCAAAGGCACAGAGATCCACTTGCCTCTGTCTGAGTGCTGGGATTTAAAGGTGTATGGACCACTGTGCCTGGCTTCGGTTTTGTTTTGTTTCTTGTTTTTGGAAATAGGGTCTTGCTGTTCTGCCACTCTGGGCTATAAGAGACTTTGTCTCAAAATGTACAAAAATAAATAAAAGTAATTGATAGACTATTTCAGTGTACAGTTCTCCAGGGAGCAGGCTCATAGAGCAGCAGGTGCCCTGACATCCTCCTGAGGATCTTTCCACACTAGCAGGGAGCCTGGTGAAGGAGGCTCTCACAGGACCTTCTGACACTCCCGCGTGGACAACAGCTCCCAGCCAGCCACCAGCTTACGATTTCCTGCTCTTTTTTTTTTTTTTAAACAAATTTGGTTTTTGTGTATGGATATTTTGCTTATAAGTCTGTGCAACATATATGAGTGCTTGGTGCCTGTTGAAGCCAGAAGAGGGTATTGGAGCTGAAGTCACCGACAGCTGTGAGCTGCCCTGTAGGTGCTGGGAATTATAGACGGGGGTCCTGCTGCACAGCCAGGCTGCCTAGAGATGTGAGCCACCACACACAGTTCAGGCTTTTTTATTTGTATTTTTAAAATTATTTTTAATATCCAATTTTAGTTTATGTGCACAGGTTTTGGCCTGCACCACAGGGGTGCCTAGTGCCCATGGGGGCCCACAGGGGTCCTCAGATCCTCTGGAAATGGAGTTACAGGAAATAGTGAACCATCACGGGGGTGCTGGGAATTGAACCCAGGTCCTCTATAAAAGCAGCCTGTGCTCTTTAACCACTCAGCCATCTCTCCAGCCCTTTGTTTGTATTTCTTTTCATTTTATGTGAAACAAAGTTGAAATTTATTAAAATATTTATGTGTAGGTTAGGCATGGGTGAAAAAAAAAAGTGGTCAGATAAAAAAACAACAAAACATACTCCCAGGAGCTGTGGGGGTTTCTCAGCCGAGATGTGAAGCACGGTTAATAAAAACTCAGAGGGAGAAATTGGGGTTCAACCTGAAGGCCAGAAAAGCAAAACAGCCAGCCACTGGCTCTTACCTCTACTTCAGTCCTCAAAATGGTGATTCTGCCTCCAAGAATCTCAGAAAGTCTGTGTCTGAGAACTGTCTCCTCCCGTTTTATAGTTTTATAATCCTTTCTAGGGCTGAGATTAAAGGCCTGCACCACCCTGTTTCTATGGCAACTAGTGTGGCTACTGGGATTAAAGGTGTGTATCACCACTGCCTGGTCTGTGAGGAGACCAATGGGGCTGTCTTACTCTCTGATCTCCAGGCAAGCTTTATTTATTAAAATACAAATGAAATGCCACTACATAGATTCACTCAATCTTCTTATTAAGAAAAAAAATTCTCTTCACTGGGAGGTAGTGGCACACACCTTTGATGATCCTAGCACCTGGGGGAAAGAGACAAGCACTTCTCTCTGAGTTTGAATTTAAAGTCAACCTGGTCTACAGGTTTTCAGGACAGCCAGGACTAAACCTCCTCTTGAAAAACAAAAAGCATTTTTTTTAAGGCAGGCATGGTGGTGATAAATATCTTTGATCCCATCAAGGGCAGGAAGATCCCTGTGAGTTTGAGGCCAGCCTGGTCTAACATAGCAAATTCCAGGCTAGCCCTCAAACAAACATGTATTATACAGACATATAACCAAAACATCCATACAGGAAAAAGCAAACTCATTAAAAAAAAAAAAAAACTTGAAAACAAAAATCAAACCCAGCAAATACAGGAAATCTGGCCAGTTAGCCCATTAGCCGTAAGTTCCTGCTGTACACGCAGGAGTCTCAGAGGGTCATGTGGGAGCCTGTCTCACATGAGGCCCGGCCTCAAAACAAACAAACAAAAAACTCAGCAAAACCATAAAGTCTCCC